AAATTGCAGGCCGCTCGCTGCCCTGACGCAAACCGGGCCGAGCAAACTGAGCTGCTTTTCTAGCATTCAAAATTGCGCCGTATACGACTGTGTCAACATGATAAGGAGCCTTGGTCTTGACCCAAAGCTCACTTGACCACACTGGCACTTGACATGATGGATTGATATGTTAAAAAACACATTAGAAGGCAGCCACCCTCTCAACTCAACCAAGGGCCGCTGAATATCAAACAACTTTACATTTCTTCGGTTTGTCGAAACGCTTGCAACTGCAGTCTGCAATATGAATCAAGCGCAGGGTCTTGCAAGTGTTACACACCTAGACCTAAACCATGACACAAGCTCCAGTCATGGTGACACGAGCACCAAGAAGAAACGTCATTGCATTCAAACATGATGAACATTTGTCTCCAATCCAAAGACGTTTTAACACACTTAAATAAATTCAGTTAACATATGAAGTTGGGCAAAACGGTAGCATGTAGCCCAAACAGTTGGATTTGTGCCTTTTGCATCTGACAGCATCTGTGTCTTCACGTTCTTGGCACGATTCCCGGAACACTTACAATGTTCATCTTTCAAAACACAGGCACATCTTTCATGCTATAGTTATTCAACACCTTGACGCCAACTGCTGGCAGCTCTGCCTACACTAGTTAGTCCCTAGTTGTGTCAAGTAGCATGTGACCCCTCCATACCAAGCTGCTTCAACTTCTGATAGCATAGGAAAGCCATCCTCCTTGTCGCCCGAAGTTGTAGGCCTCTCGCTGCCCTGGCAAAAGTTCCACATAAAGCACCAAGAAGGAGTGTGCCCCAATAATGTTCATTTTTCGATGTGTATAATCACACAGGGGCTTCAAAAGAGCTTGAACAAAAGCAAAACAGCTGCAGCTAATCATTCATTGTCCACAGTATTGACTGTACGCCCCGCCACACCGCACCTTAGTAGCAGTAGCGGCTATGCTTCTTCTGTGTGTGTCATCAACTCCGGCTGGCAGCTCTGCCTCCAGGAAATATGTAGCATCTTCAAGTCAAAGGCCAACGCTACATGACTTTTCTCTCTTGTAGGCATGGCCTCTCCAAATCCAAATGTTTGGACTTTGGATGGAAGAGCAAGATTGTCGGTGTAAGTAGAAGGCCGCTCGGCCACCTGATAAGTGAGGGAGCCAATCTCTCTTCAGCGCACAATGAGAGAAAACACAAACCCTGATAAAGATGATGCACAAAGTGGTCCCTGCGCGAGCGGCCTCGACATACCCAGGTGCTTGAACCTCCGGAAGTCCATCGTAGTCCAAAATGTCAGGCCGCTCGCCACCCTGACGAACACTCGACTGGAATGCTCTGACCTTTCAAACTCGATCAACATGCCCTCACAAAAATGAACTCGCCCTACCATTGTTCTTGAACTCTTGTTGGTAGGTGACTACAATTTTTATGGACAACTGCAGTGTTTACAGTAGCAGTAGTGCATCAAGTATTCTTAGCACTTGAAGTGTCACTTGAGTGAGTGCTTTTGCATTTTGTGATGTTGTGTATATATATATATGATAAAGTTATTCGATTCTTGGTTCACCTACCTAACCGTGCCATGCACCTTGATAGCAGCCACTGTGCTGCTTGCGCGTGCATTGTCAACAAGAGGCAGTTCCACCTACACAAAATGCAACAACTGCAAACATGAGACACGTGTATACTGCATCCAACAGGACGTGCACTGCGTCTCATTGTGTAACCTCTTGAATGTTTGATGATAGGGTAGGCGATTGTGGGCTGCTTGGCTACCTCTCGATTCGGAACAGGATGGAGAACTCAAATTCTCTTCCTTGGTGGAATTCACCCCCCTCCTCTTTGTACGATCTCATCAGCTTTCTGGCTGTCCATTTTACACTTCATCGCCACCTCCTGGCCTTCTCCAGATCTCTTGACGGAAGGCCAGCGTCATGTTCGAGCGAGTTGTCAGGAGCCTCCAGAGTCTTAAGAAATGACAGAGTGAAGAACAAACAAAATCCCCAACAAAATCGTTAACTTTGTCAATGCGGGTGGGTCCATATCTACAAATAAAGGAGTGGTTCGCACCACTTTTGGCGTGTATCGAACTGAGGGGTGTACAACGTCTATGACAGGAGGTGGTCAACATAATTTAACAAACGTAAGCACCGCAATTAGATTTGCACTGTTCGTGTCCTCATCAGTGTGTCTAAGCACAAGGTTGCAGAATATGATTGTATGAAAAGTAGGAGACAAGACTTGGATACTCTATGATACTCTCATCGATTCGGTGAACACGCGTGGCTTGATTGCTGGAAAGGGTCTGAACATGCCATGGCCAAGAAACACCAGCAGTGCTGATGCCAAATAAAACTCCGTAGAAAACCTCTACAACATTAAATTAACCACAACGTTCTCACACGTTCCCATGTTCATCCCACGCACCTGCTGCAATACGATGCCATGGTCGTCAATGTCCAGTCGATGGGCAATGCGAAGTTTCCTTAGAACAAATTTGGCACCTGAAAGAATCAGTTGACACAACGAAACCTGTAATTAGCCAAAAGCCGTTAAAAAATGTGTTTCCGGTCAATCTTGTGGGTACAACCTTTTAGGCAAATGATCAACGCTTGAAACAGCTAGATGAAGCAGTGCAAGGTCAAAAACCAGTACTTCCGAGCAACGAAACAACTTTGGCAGACAAACAGATTGGTCACAATACTGCTCCTTTTCCTTTTCTATTTTTCTTGTCCGTTTGCTTTCTTTGTCCTTTGGTTCTTTGTTTGTGTCGTGCCCCTTTTCATTCCTTTCGTTTCCCTGCTCTTTTGCCTTCTTTTTCTTCTCCCTTTTCCTGTTTCGCGTCCTGTTCCATTCGCGCAAAACATTCAAAACATGCCATAGGCCGTAGGCCCAAGAAGACGCAAGGGCCAGTGTGAGCACAAGAGTCTTTCAACATCATGCCCTGGTAGGGCTTGGAACAGCCCCTCAGATGTTTGGACAGTGAGCAAAGGGTGCAAAGGCAAAAAAGGGCAAAGGGGCAGGATGAACAAGGAAAAAGACGCCAAGAAAAGAAAACGCATAGCACAAACGCACCTACAGGACCAAAATCGGAAGAAAACGCAATGACGCAAAGCAATATCCTACGCTCTGGAAAAAGCGTCGGGCACGGTTTTGGCAAAATAGCAAGCTGCCAATTGAGCCCGAAGCAAAACAACAAAAAAAAACAACTGCACAAGCAACCAACAACAAAGCTTTATTCAAAAGAAAAGGAAAGGATTCAAAGTATAACATTTACAATATGTCATTGCTTTCTTAATTGCATGATTAATTTGCTAGTGCAGTATACCTATACATGACCCTATCTTTACGTAGAAAGCTTGCCGTTAACCCACACAAAAACAGGAAAGAATTGACTCAAAAGACATGTATGTATTGCATGTCCTTTTACTTATGAGGGTTTAGAACAACCCCCATCTGTTCCGATCACATTCCGCGAACGGAGACGTGTCGGCGAACAGAGTCTATTGGAGCGAGCTCTGTCCCGAAAAGGCTTGGCTCCAAGCTGCTGCTTCAGGAATCGGCCTTGACACCAAAAGGTGACAACATCAACTGGCCCAAGTTCTCTTTAAATATCTTCATTATTTCATGTTACAAACGAGTTCCGGGGCTTCCATGGCCCGCAAGAGTAAAGAGTAGCAGCATGTGCTTGTATTTCAAGAGTCTTCTTGTTTCCAAAAGGCTTGTCTGTTTTAATCAAACTCATCTGAGCGGTGTTCAAAATTGTGTTGTCTTTTCTTGCCGAGAAATCAAACCTTACGGTAGGCCTTGCGCAAAGCTTACATTTTTCTATGTTTTGCTTACGGTGACACATGCATGCATGGCTATTCTTACGTTGTGCTTACGACGAAGGTATGCAAGTCCACTATGGCCACATATATGTTGTTGCAAAACAAGAAAGGATACAAAATCAAAATACACAAGTTTCGCTTCCGGTAGCCTTACGGCATCGTTCAAGTCTGCACATCCTTACGGCAAACCTTACGGACACCTTACAAACATCAGCTAAAATCACTATGTTCACTGATTTTTCGCCGGTCCCTGACTTAAAAAGAAAGGGTGAATTTAGAACGCTGCTCATCTAACTTGCCAACGTGGATGAAGACCAACATGTTGGTCCCAGCCGCTGGTTTGAAGACGCCCCTCGCGAATGGCACGTTCCAAGGGGCTCCGTCCTGCCAAAAGCATGCCAAAGCCAGAAACAGCCCAGGCCAGCTGATGCTATGTCATAGAATATATTGAACAATTCTACAGTGCTTTGGAAAGACACAGTCAAGTGCCAAACCATGCCTTTGACTAGTTCTCTCAAGAGGTATCCAGTGATATCCTGTCGGAGTTTTAGTAGATTCTCGACTCACAACCTCTGGCAACATTGGCGGCGGGGCTTCATCCATCTCCGTCTGGTTTGGTGACTTGGCACCATCCGACCTTGCACATCTCGACTGCTAAGCTTCCCGAAGGCTGGGTGCTTCAGCAGCACCTCACACCTTGAAAAAAACATCTTGTTTGAGCACATGTCTGGAGGGTTCAGGTTTCAGTGCTTTATGCCAAAAAAGTGCGGACACACTGCGTCAACCACTGGAGAGAGGGAGGCAGAGAGATGCTTGCAAAATTAGACACAACATTGTTTAAGTATGTTCCACTTGCCGACACCGAAGCTAGGAGAATCCTATGCCACGCTTCTGCAGACCACCCCAAGCTTTCCCCTGCCTTTCAGGTCTGTGCTGGAGGAAAAAGGGTTGGCACGATGCCTCTCCAGCCTTTAAACTGCTCAAACTTCTGTACAACTAGTCACGCACCTCAACATGCGCAACGAGAAAAAAGAGGCGCATGCATGCGCCGAGAATGTCAAAGAGTCTGCTATGCACTCTTGTCAGCTTAGTAGCGCCTTTGGCGCAGCTCACATCTTAATCACCATTAATCTGTTCTCACGTTTTTCGCCAGCTTTTGGGCAGCATGACGCGTCCTAATGCGCCGTTGCCGGAACAAATCCATGTAAGAGCTATAGGAATAAAGATCGAAGCCCTCACTGCAAATGTCATCCAAACAGCTGGCCTCAAGGCACACCGCAAGAGCTATGGATCATTGTGGACCAAACACATCGGATTTATCCACCAGAGCATGCTTGGGGTGGAGATTGCGCCGAGAAGACAAGCAAAGGTGTTCCTTCGAATCATTCATTGGGGTCTTTCTCTGGCAGACTCAAGTCAAAACACTCATGACTCAGAATATACATAATATATAATATAACTATATTATATATATAAATATATATATATACAAGTAATATACCTAACCGCCCTAACCCAGGATGTGATGCCTCCTTTGCGGGCCAGGCACAAGCCCAACTGAAATTTCAGGGTCGCTTTCAGAAGAAGCAGCTGCACTGCAACCACGAAGACTTGATTGGTGATGATAAACCTGGTGGAGTTTCAGCGAATGGATCTGGATAGGGAATGATGCTGGACATGTTTTACCAATTTTACCAACTTAGCATGCAATTCTGGATGTTTCACATTGGATGTCATGCCAAAACACAGTTGTCCTGTCAGCTATCAATCAAGTAATCAAGGGCAACTGTGTCACTGCGCCACTCACTTTGCAGCTTTTGCTGCCTTGATCTCAAATCTGTCCAGCCGTGCACTGAACCATGTGTCTAGATTCCAGATCGTGAGCTCCGCTTACACAACCTGCTTCCCCCATCCAATGTGAGTTGTTTGCGACATGTCAGGCTTCATTTCGCTACTTGGAACATCTTAGAATGTTATTTCTAGCGGAGGTATCGCCGTGCTACCATCAATGTGCCCAACAAAAAACTGCTCTCCTACCTGAAATCCTTCGCAGCCAACAGGGCCCCATCAATGGAACTGGAGATCAGCAAGGCTCCAGTGGCCAGCAACACCATTGATGCCGAGGAGTGCACCTCCTTGAGCCTCGGCAAGCATTTTGATTCGAAAGGCCGGGATGCAGCCAATTGGCTGTGAATTCGCCATCGAGCCATCGGTTTTGGATGAGATCCGCTCGCCGAAGATCCTCTGAGAAATGTTCCACCAAAGCTACTAGGAGCTCCTGGCATCGCTACTAGGAGCAAGGACGCTACCAGTAGCTCCTGGCCTTACTACTAGTAACAAGAAGCTATTAGGAGCTCTGATCCGAACTCCCGAAGATTCATACACCCGAAGCTGCCTGTCGGGACTTCGACAACAACGATTGATGGGCCGACGGTTTAGCTGAGCAGGTCTTTGTGACCACCGCCCCAGGTGACCATCCCGGGTGACACTCGGTTACACTCACATCCCGGCCACACTCCCAAGTCAGCTGTGAAGGTTTGGGCACCAAAGCGAAGCGCAGCGTAGCAAAGGCAACTGGCCTCAAAATGCAGAGACAAAGGGCTTTGCCCGGCATTCGGCTAGCAATCTTGAATGCCACGTGAACGACAAATTTGTTGAAGTGTGGAAAGGCTAAGCGGCTAGGAAGCTGGGAGGTGAGACAGGAAGTGAGTGAGGATTGATTTTGGCCGACCAAGTGTGTCCCATGTTCAATCCATTTCATACCATTTCTGTTTCTGGTCATGCTCATCTGAGGTCCGGTCCACCAAGCTCACCTCAGTCAGTCTGAGGTCGTCTTTGCTACAAAACTGTATCCTCTCGAGGGCGATTGCTTGTCCAAGTTTGTACAGCAAAAGAATTAACAATTGGCCCAAACCACCAAAAACATGAGTGTGCATATGCACGACCAGTCTACAAAGGCCTGGAACAAAGAGCAGTATACAGAAACACTAGGCAGATCGAGCGAAGGCTGATGGAAAACACGATATCAAGCTATCAAGCCCCCCATTGCTTTGTGTGTCTTTGATGAACATTCATCATTCATCAAAAACAGGTGGACAAATGTTCAGTCAAATAGCAAATGCGCTCAAACTTCTCTGTGTCACGAAACTGGCACCCACCACCTGACAATACCCAGGGCTCATATCTTGGCTGAGCAGCTGCAGTTGCGATGGTCAAAACCTGAGCTCGTGCACAGTTGATTCGCATCTTCTCAAAACTGTGAAGATGTTCATCGATTCCTCCCCAAAATTGAAACACCCGTGCAAAGTTTCGGCTGTCTAGCTACCTGCATTTCTTGCCTTAAAAACATGAAGAAACATGATAAACATGTTCGAGTGGCGGGTCAGTGGAGACCTTGCTTCAAGATTAGAAATGTGACTTGCAACACCACCAGCTTGGGCTCCTGGCGTTTTTGCCCACTTTTCGAACTCCTTTGGTATCACCCGTTTCGATCAAAGGCGGCAACATACTCCTGGATCCGAAGGCACCGAACGGCAAACAACACAGGCAAACAATAAATTTATTGCTCCTAGTAGCGATGCCAGGAGCCCCTAGTAGCGTCCTTGCTCCTAGTAGCGATGGCCTCCACCTAGTAGCTTCTAGTTGCTAGAAAGCAAACTGAAACTCTGAGCACCATTGGTGTGGAACTCTTCCACTCTTGCACCGCTGCAAAACCGCTTCAAACAGCACCGCTACAAACATGCAAGCTAACATTCCACATGCAGCCGGCAGCATAGCTTGGTCAACGGCGCGACAACAATGACCATCATCTTTTACGGAAAAAATAGAAACATGTCCAGAGTAATATAATGAAAATCAATCAAATCAAAGCCAAGTCTCTGCGCAGTCTGACTAAGAGGAGCTCCCATGAACGCAAATAGCACGAAAATGCCGACAATGACCTGAAAGATGAAGGCTCCAGGGTCGAGCACAGGCTATTCATGGCTTTTCGTGTTCTCGGCAGGTGAAGTTGCAAATTGCAAAATTCAAGGTGACACAGCAAACTTGCACCTGATGCATGCTCTCGTCTGATTGGATGCTGCACATCTGCATTTTAGTGCCCCTCCAACTTCAACATGTTACAGATGTTACAGTATAATTAGTCAAATACTGTTTCAGTTGGCGATAGCACCCATTACCTTGTTCTAGGAGCAATATGAAGCAACTGTCTACTTCCATCGGATCATCAAGACCTTTTCCGATTACTTTTGCATGCGAAACTCCAAAGCTATCTATCTTGAAAAGTCGACCACTGATGCTATGAAAACAATCGAACACTTGGTGTGGCTAGTAGGTGGAGGCCATCGCTACCAGTAACTCAGTAACAAGAAGCTACTATTATAGTAGCTCCTGCTCACGATGGTCTTTTTTAATCGTCCAGGTCCGACTGTGCAGTGTCAACCCGTCCTGATAGGCCGCGAGCTGTTGGGTGCCCAAAGCCGCAGCAGCAAATGCCATGGCAGTGTAGCCCAGAATCCCGGTGCTGTTGATGACCATCATTGGCCCCGCCTCGACACTCCAAGGGAAAAGTTGAAGTAGTGATCTCTTTGAAGGTTAACTCGTAGCCTCACAAAAGGAGAGAGAGAGAGAGAAAAAGAAAAAGAGAGAGAAACAACAGAAAATAATAGAGAAAGAAAGAAAAAGAAAAGAGAAAGAAATAAAAAGATAGAGAGAGAGAGAGAAAGAAAGAAAACAAGAGAGAGAGAGAGGTTTCAGTTTCACTTTCTAGTTTCGACCATCCGAAAATATCACAGTCTTCAGTCTTGGATTCCAGTCGACCAAATTAACACTCCAAGTCTTTACCTTCCACTCATATCCGCTACCTCCAGCGGAAAGGGCTAGATAGTTGAAGCCATCTTGAAATACGTAGAATCTAGAATCAAACCACACCTCTCCTAGATTCTAGATCTCCAAGCAGCAGTCTCACCAACAGAATCAGTTCCTGAGCTTTGGACATATTCCAGCACTGGCCCGGCATCTTTCAAGGCTGCTGCTCGAAAGCTGGGAAGGATCTGTTTTCGCTGAAGGCTGCGCAGCATCAAGGCCTCGATTCAGCAGCTTTGTCTTGACTTGATCAGTCCGTCTGCATAACGCACACCTGGGTCAAAAACTGAGCTGTTCTAGATATATCATATATCCAAATAACTTCCCAAATATACAGACATATACAGACCACACAAAAGAGCGACCAAACAACAGCCTTCTACAAACGTCGGAGTTTGGATGCACTAGATGTGAAATGTCATGCTGGCGAGAGTCAAAGCCAGCCAGAACGGACAGCGCTGTCGCTGCAGCAGCGCCGCTCACGCCCAAGCGGAACGGCCAACAGCATAAAAGGAAGTCCCCTAAGCAATTGAGAGCCTTGGTCACGTCACTCTACAGCATGGATTCAAAGAGAAGCATTGAGGCATACAAAGTTCACGTGTCTGCACAGTGTGTATAGATTCTCTTACCAATATTGCAAAAGTTGATCACACCCTCTTGTTATCATATAGATGGGGTACACAAGTGCCTCAAGAACATTGGCTGAGTGACGACCGAGCCTCGGATTCGAATGACCTACCAGCAACTTCGACATTGTCAATCTTGGAAACTCCGGTCCACTTGGAAACTCCATTTCAGCATGTTCAATACCAATCTGGATACAATATCTGTAT